CATTTTTTATCATAATTTTACAAAGAAGTTTGTTGTTCTAAGACAAGAGTCTCATTATATATTCTAGGCTACCCTTGAATTTACTATGCAGCCCAGACTGGTCTCACATTTGGGATCCTCTTACCTCAGGTTTCTTGAGTGCTAGGATTAGAGGTATGCACCACAACCAACTCAGACAAATAATTTTTTCTGTTAAGATATACAGTGCTACAGTACACTGCTAGTAGGTAAGGGAGTCAGAAAATAAACTGATAGTGATTGGCAGTTTAGCTGAGTATTGCAGCATTTTTCTTGTTAGCAAGCACAAGGCTCTGGGTTAAAATGCAGGCACATACAAAAAGAAAAGATTTTTAAAAAAGAGAAAGACATTAAGCCTAGGTCTAATTCCAAAATCTTAGCTTTTACTCACTAATATATATGGTCCAAAAAAAAATTAAAACCACATGCAATGCCAACCAACTAGACATAAGTTCTGCTAACGTTAGTGATATCTTACCAATCCTCCTTTCATTTTCCAAAAACACAAACATCTTTTCCTCCTAGACAATCCATGTTACTTTTGGTGTTTTCTCCTAGATATTTTTTCTATGAATGTATATTCATGTATCTATTCAAATACAACTTATAAAATTATAGAAATGTTATGTTAAATGTTATGTCATGACAGAAAATAAGGCAAAGAGAGGTTACGTGACATCTTTTAGGTCAAAAGACTAGTAAGAGAAAAACCATAATTAAAATATAATAAGACATATCTAACTAAAGATAATCCTACAATTTTAAATATTGTTTCTGATTATTTAGAAGTACTTTACATACTTAGGAAAGGAGTCCAATGGTGTAACTCCTCTGAACGATTAACAAACTATTTAACACAATGAATACTAGGAAGCTAATATATGTTTTTTTGAGGGAGGGGCAAGAGAGGAAGGGGTTCATGAATAGACGGAAGAAGAGTAAGCAAATTCAACATTCACTATGTAATGTGAGGGTGGAAATGGTATAGGGAAAGATGGGGCAGAATGATGGAAGGGGTGACATTGATCAAGACACACTGTACTCATAATCTGACATGTTAAACTGAAACCCCTTTGTATAACTACTTAAAGATAATTAAAAAAATTAGAAACAAAGATACGCTAAGTGACATGCTCAAAACAAAGTTATACCACATGTAGAATACTTACAGAGAATAGAACCAACTTATCTCTTATGATAGATTGTTCTATTAAACAATGAAAAAGGGTAACCAACTGACACCAGTGACTTGTATTTCATCTCCATTATTACCAAGATACATTGCTTAATAAATATCCCCCTACATATTCTGCACACAAAAAATCTGATTTGAGTAACAGTAACTTTTAGATAGGTTAGACCATTAGAATCTAATGATATGTAAAATGCAGTAATCTATTTACTGCACAAATATTCTGGATCAACAGCTATATGCCAAAACAGTTTTCCTTTGTAGAACAAAATGATTTAATGATTTGATCTGGTTTTTGAATTCACAACTTCCTTTTACATATATACAACACAGTGAGTACAGAGATGCCAAGTACAGAAGAAAAAGGTAAGAAAAAATATGTGTCCATGTCTCAGACACAAAAGTTCAATTCTTCTAACCAAAAATATAGGTACCAAAAGGCTTACATTTATGTAATACAGAAATAATGCTTCCAGTTACTCACTAGAAGTCAACCTTAGCAGACTGAACCTCACAGGGTTCCATCATTGTTTTTTTTTTTTTTTTTTAAATTTTATTTTATTTTATTTGAGAACATACTGTACAGAGGGGTTACAATTACATGGGCAGGATAATGCATACATTTCTCCATCATTGTTTACTGTACCATTTGTAAGCAGTCTACAGCAATCCTTTTATAAAATTAGTCCTTGATAGGTCCTTGCTAGGATTACAAACTCAAATTTGTAATTCTAACTATTCAGACAGTTGAGATCTGAGGATCAAGATTGGAAGTCAGCCCAGGCAGGAAAGTCTGTGAGACTCTTATCTGGGATTAAGCTAGAAGTGAGTTTTGGGTTAAGAGATAGAAGGACTAGCCTTGAGCAAAAATACTTAGGGTCAGCACCCATGCCCTGAGTTCAAGCCCCAGGAGAGGTGCACGCGCGTGTGTGCTTGCACACACACACAGACACACACACACACACAACCACTGGTCCTCAAAGTATGGAACCTCTACCAGCAGCTTCAGCATCATCTGGAATTTGTCAGGAAATGGAACATCTTTGACCCACTTCAATACTACTGACAGAGATTCTGGGGGGAGGCCCAGTAATATACATTTGGACAAGTCCTCCAGGTAATTTGAGAACCACTGTTTTACCTTTACAGTTGTTTCTTGTAATATACAGTGTCTAAACTTGAAGGTAATCAGATAGACAAGATGGTATCAGAAAACTACCTCTCACTGCACTATCATGTATGAATATATAATAAATGTGTCCATTATTCTGTTAGTATGTCTTATATAAATTTTAAAAAGCATAGACTGAAATTTGTTTTACAGGAGTTGAACTTTTTTTTATAACTGTGAAGTGTCTATTAAATAAACCAACAGTAGACAGGATAATAGGAAAAACGGTAGCCAAACTTCTTACATGCTTGGTGGGCATCATAGGAAAAAAGAGCAAATACCCAAATACCAGTAAGAGCTAGATGTTTATATACCTTCTTTACAGAGGATGGCAGAAGAGGAGCAGGCAATTTAGAGGAGAGCAAATGATTTTTGGAAAAGATGAACAGGCCCTCAGAAGAATAAGTGATAGTCTGTGAAAAAAAATCTGTCTGGGCACAGCATCAACCTTCTGTCTCTTTTCCTGTGACACAATTAATCTTCCCTTGTTGATGAGATTATAGTGAGTGAGAATACATGACAACTGAATTCCATTTTTGGAGAATCTACAATTTAGGCTGATAATGGAACTTCAGAGAAAGCTCCTCCCTGAACTCACTTCAGGAGAGAAAGACAGAGAAGATTGAGGGGTAGGTAGGTAGAAAGGTTTTACTTCTAAGGCTGCTTCTAAAACCTTCCAAATTTACTTGGTTCAAAATATAGCATGCTAAAGCACCATACTTTAAGATATCCTTTTCTAACTTCTAACTGTTTATTTTATAAGCTTATTCATTTGCTTATTGTGAAATTTTGATACTATGAGATAAGTTTCAACCCTCAGGTTATTACTCTATCTTAGAAGAAACTTATTTTAAGAGGGATTAAAGCTGTATTATAAAAGAGCAAACCAGCATGAAGTTTCTGTTTTAAATTTGTTTCAGATAAGGAAAGAAAAGATGTGGCAATTAACATTTTGGCACAGTGTTTTAGTTTCTTCCTAGCTTTTTAAATATCTTAGCAAAGAATTCATGTTTGTAGAAATATGCATAAATAATCATATTGATAAGACTGTCTTTAGTGTTTCAGTTCAGACATTCAAAAGCAGCACTACTTTGTTTCTTGACAATAACAATAGCTACATTAGATTAAGGATGTTACATAAGCACTAAAAATGTGATATAATCAGGCTTCACTTATAGTCATTCTGACTTGCAAATCTGAAAAGAGGCTCTTGGCGTATAGTTCATTGAGAGAGTGCTTACTGTGTGTGGAAGGGGGTGGAAAGGGAAGGTGAAAAAAGAAGGAAAAAGGACAGAGAGGGAGAGAAAGAGGGAGAGAAGAGGGTGGAAGAACATCAACCTCACAGTAAATTAGTACATTGATTTTACTTCATAACATTAAAATTTGCATGAAGAAATATAAAGCTCAATATCTCATTATGTGAGAAGTATAGCTATACCTCAAAACATGAAAAAGATTCTGTGTGTTACATTATTACATAAAAAGTTTTTGTTCTTTTTAGAAACAGAAAAGCTAGTCCCTAATACAAAACCAGTACTGATTTAGAAAAGAATTGTCATCTATAACAGTGGCTGAAGTCTAAGGCTTAAAACCCTGAGAGTGAAATCCCAAGGTTTTTTTATATTAAGAATTGATTGATAAAATCAAATGTCTTTCATTTTACTAGTTTGGTCCAAGTTTTTGCCCATTGTTTTATTTGTTTTGCTATTTTAACAAGTCCTATCTGGCTTCAGAGATATCTTATCCTGGTATTACTAGGCTATTGGTATCTTCTTAAAACTAGAAATCATTTTATTCTACTGACCCCAAATGTTGCAAATGTATATTGGCTGCATTAATAGTGTTTAACAGTTTCAAGAGCAGGAATAAATAAAAGACCTGAAACCAAGTCTTTTAAGGTTGCTCGTTCACTAATGTTCTGATCTGTATATTCAACCAGAGCTGTGAACATTTCTAACAGAGCTCTATAGACTCATTCGAGAAACAGTGTAAAAGATGTTGCCAGGCAACTCATTTAAGTCTGAAAGAATCTAAGCACTGATAATGAGTCTGTCTTTGGCTCCCACACAAGAAGGGTTTTAGTGAAGTCCTACATGTGTTTACAGGCCATTCATGAGAAAAGGTATTTCTAAAACTAAATGTCCAAAAGCAGACCATCTCAAGAATCTATTTCTTTCCCAATTTAAGTTTAATGTATCTAATGTATCACAAGTATTTTTGCAGCTATAAAAAGTTCCATTATGAATTAGGTATAATAAGTAATATGCAAAGGCTCCAGTATTGAATAAATATTCTTATTTGTATCTTCCATATTTTTGTCTGCATGTAGCTACAACAAAATTTCTTTAATTATTTCAAATCATAGAAATAATCCAACAATATCTGCCAAGATTATTTTAATTCTCTTGAAAATTATCTTTGAAATTGTTTTTAATGCTTGCATTATCAATGAAAAACAGGACATTCAGTAAAAAAAATTTGTTCTTTAAGGACAGTATGTGATCATTTGCAAGGACAAATATGTTTTTATATGTAGTATATATGAAAATCATTGCTCTGCTGGATGGGCCTGATCCAATCCTCCCTCTTTCAAAGCAGACACTTTGCATGCATGCTTACCAGGGCAGTATGCATCCACGTCCAGTTTCTGAGCTGAAGTGAGAGTTGGGGAGCCAAGCTCGGATTCTGGAATTCGTGGGCTCTCAACAAACTTTGCCTTCCTCAGAGGGGCTAAGGGAAGAGAGAGGGAAAGAGAGAGGGAGAGAGGAGAGAAGAGAAGAGAAGAGAAGAGAAGAGAAGAGAAGAGAAGAGAAGAGAAGAGAAGAGAAGAGGAGAAGACAAGACAGAGGAGATAGGAAAATAGAAGAGAGAGAGAAAAAAAGGATAAAGTAACGGGAAAAGAAAAGGGAAAGAGAGAAACATAGAGGGGTCATAAATAAGGGGAACAGCAGGCAACAGATGGAAGCACTTAAATGAACGACACACTCTGTCAGACTCAGATCAGGTTACCCTATTTTTTTGTGCCAGAAAAAAGTAACTGCATTCTTCATAAAAGAGATGGATTTTGCTAAAAAAAAAAAAAAATCACCAAAAATGGGAAAAGCTTAAATCTAATACTCAAAGTTATGAGCACAAATTTTAATTGTCTCAAACCTTTGGTTATTTTTCCTCTCTTTGTAAAAAAAAAAAAAAAGCCTTTATCTTGGCTTTCTGTTCCATTTTAAAAAAAACTAAAAAAGTACAGTATTAAGTTTAAAGGTTTTGTTTATACTAAATTTAATCAAAAAGTCTTCTTTATCCACAAATTATTTAAATACTCAATTCTGATACATACAAAAGGAGGATTAAATATAAGCCATTAGACTCAAATCTACTTAGTTTAACAAATACATCAATCACCTTACTGCTCTGCTCATCCATTAATGTAAGAAATCAAAACTGCTAGCAGACTAAAATACTAATTAGGCTATGCCAATTTGACACTAATGCTAAAGATATGTAATTTACTTACAATTTAATCATAAAATCCATGTAAAAGTAATATTCCATGTCACAGACATCACTCATTATTATAAACAACATAATTCACATATTGAGTTTTATTTAGTGAAAATGCCCATAATTTTTTTCTTGAGGCAGGATCTCACTGTGTAACCTAGACTGGTCTTTAACTTGAAATCCTTCCCTGTCTCAGCCTTTTTTTGGGGAGGGGAGGGGGGTGTCTGGTTGTGGGGCCTGAACTCTGGGCCTGGGTGCTGTCCCTCAGTTCTTCAGTTCATGGCTAGCGGCTCTACCACTTGAGCCACAGCGCCACTTCCGGCTTTTTTCTTTTTGCTTATGTCATGCTGAGGAATCGAACCCAGGGCCTCAGGCATGCAAGGCAAGCACTCTACCACTGAGCCACCTTCCCAGCCCTGTCTCAGCCTTTTGAGTGCTGAGATTATAGCTGTCACTACCAGACCCAGCAGCACATATAATTTTTATTTCATGATTTTTAGAGAGATAACCTAAGAAAAAAGTATCTTCAAATAATCAGTTAAATATAAAAGTAAATAACATAGTGATTTCCTTGATGCTTTCAAACAGCCTAGAAAGTTTTGGCAGTACTGGAGTTTAAACATAGATTTTCACATTTCCTAGGCAAGCGCTCTACCATTTGAGCCACAACTCCAGCCATTTATAAACTTTAACATACTGTGGCAATAAAGTATCAGTTCAATCTGAGTGTTTAAGGTCATAGAACATTTTGCCAAAAGTTTCTATATACTCTTCAAAATCCTCATCCATTACTGACCCATATGTATCCTAAAAGATGCTATAGAACCTATTATACTATTTTGTTATTAAAATGGCCAGAATTCTTGTTTACTTCATTGGGGGATAAAAATGATAAAGTGTTAAAAGAATTTAGAAAACAGGTCTTAAATTGTCAATACTGAAAACCTATAGATAGTGAAATCTCAATTTAAACCTCAGGTTATAAATATATACTTTAAATATAGATTAAAAAGAAAATAACATAAAACCTGTTGTCACCACAGCAACAAAAAAAATCTACAGCCAAGATTATAATTCTCCTCCCCCTCAGTGAGCCATGGAGTAGAAGAAATTACATGTGCTAGGAGTGTAATACTTAAGTTCCTTTTAAAATTTAAAGAGATTTATATGCAGGCTACCAACAGCCAATATCCAAACCTCTCATTATATTCTCACCAACTGATTTAAAACTAATAAAATAATAAAACAATAAAATGTTCTATTTATTCAGTATTGACTTGTAAAGGAGAAATGGTGATAATTTTTTTCTTAAGCTTCTTTAATACATTAGAATTCTAGAATTTTATTTTAAGAATTGTCATTATACCAAAAAAACTATTATTCCTGCTGAGTTCTGGCAAAGGTAACACTGATCTCTGATCAAAGGATTTTGTATATTTAAATTTTTAAATATGTTTTATAATAAAATTTTGGGGTAATAGGAACCATCATCTTAGGACAAAGCTAAGAAATTGTGGATGGTAGAGATGAGGAGTAAATAAAAATTATGAGATGGAATCAACAGGAGAGATAAAAGTTCTAGAGATTATATTATGATGTCAGTACATACTATATTATTAGCCATAACTTGTATAGATTATGACAAAGAAAAAAATTAAACCTCTTAAAATACATAGTTCCTTATAAACAGAATTATCTTAGATCTAGGAAACTCAAGGCATGTTGAATTCTTTGTTCTCCCTTCTCAGGGAATTCTATTGGAGTTTATCTTTGTATAAATATCTAAATATTTAATTTGTTAATCTATCTACCATAACCTCTACCTCATCCATGGGGTACTGTGTATGCCTAATAATAAAAGTTAAATTATTTCATAAGGTAGATAATAATGGTACTCTGATCCAAGTTATACATAATTAGTGCTATTTTTAAGCCAATGAAATACAGGAGATATGATCATAGAAACAACAAGCTGTCCTATAGCCACAATACTGCCTAGTACAGAATACAGAAGAATGAAATAGAAGATGGAACACATTATTTTTCTTGAAAATCTAGAATTTTAATAAACTTCCCTATTAAAAATGGTATAGAGGATGATTCTGTTGAATGAGAGAATTATATATCAAAATGATTTAACTGATAGTTAAAAGAAAAAGTGACCGATATGCACCCAAAACTTTAAACCCTAAACCAAGTATTTTATTAGGAGACAACAGCAAATTACTGCTCTAAGAAGTACTAAGAGCTAACACTAAGAATATGATTTTTAGGCTGTAAGAGACTTGAGTTTGAGAATCTAGCAAAGACTGAGAGGAAGAACGCATAATGGTTTTAGAGGGCAAGCACATTGATTTGAAAAAAATCTAGGTCTTGGTTCTAGCATTTATTACTAGTAAGATACTATGTAAATTTTGTTTAGCCTGACCAAGCCTCATTTCCTCACAATCACTGAATTGTTATAAAGCTTAACTAATCTATGTAAAATATTTAACCCAGGGCTTAGACGTGAAGATATAGTTCAACTATAAGTTTAATAAGACATGAAATAATGAGAGCTATGGCTACAGAAAATAAAGCAAGCAAGTGGTTTGAAGACATAGCATATAGCAACAATCACAGTGTATTGTAAGAATCTAGAAGTTATTTTAAGAACTTTTTTGGGCATACATTTCTTCATCAGTTATTCTGGATTAATAATAATACCATATCTAGGCATAAAGATTACATTAATTTATAAAAGCTGTAAGCACACAATATTAAATGTATGTCTGTTGTTATCACCATCACAAATTGGACATGATTTAAAAAGTCTGACTTTTGTGTGTATGTGTTTTGGGACTTGGGGGAACACAAAAATGTCTGATACTTGAGGGGGATGGGAAGAATAATGATATCACCAATTTTTAAATGAAAAGGTTATGATATAGGAGCATATATACATATATTCTTAGAAAATATTCAAATTAAAATGGCTTAGATTAGATAATGTTGGCTTAGAAAGTTAAAATAGTATAGTTTAAGCTCAGTATGATGGTCCACAGCTGTAGGTCCAATGAGTGGAAGGCTGAGGCAGGAAGTTCAAGCCTGGTCAATATACCAAGACTGTCTCAAAATAAAACTAAAGCCTTAGTGGCTCATGCCTGTAAGCCTTGCTATTTGGGAGGCTGAGATTCGGAGGATCATGGCTTGAAGCCAACTAGGTATACACATGAGACCCTTTCTTGACCAAAAGCTGAGTGTTGTGGTATGAACTTATTATTCTAGCTAGATGGGAGACACAAAGATCAAGTGGTTTCAGTTTCAGGCCAGCCTGGGAAAAAGTCTGAGAGACTTCCTCCTTTTTTTTTTTTTGGTTGGTCATGGGGCTTCAACTCTGGGCCTAGGTGCTGTCCTTTAACTCTTCAGCTCAAGGCTAGTGTGCTCTACCATTTGAGCCACAGTGTCACTTCAAATTTTCTCTGTTTATGTGGTGCTGAGGAATCTAACTCAGGGCCTCATGCATGCAAGGCAAGCACTCTATCACTAAGCCACCTCCCCAGCCCCCAGAGAGACTTCTTATCAATGGAAATCATTGAGTGTAATGGTACACATCTCTGCAGCCATGCATGTGGCTGGGAAGAAAGCAAGACCTTATCTCAGAAACAACCAGTACAAAAAAAAAGGCTAAAGGCATAACTCAGCAGTAGGTCTTGAATTCAAGTTGCAGTACAAAAGAAAAGAAAATTAAATGAACAGTCACTGGTTCTCTAAATAATGGTTCCCAGAACAGCCTCATAATTCACAAACTTTATAGGCCACGATAATGACAATTTGCCTTGTGAAGGCTAAAATGTGTTTGTGATTTTAACTAAGTATCACTATTTCACAATACTGTGAAATATGTGAAATTTATATAATCATCTAATCTCAATTTTAAAAAAAAGTTAAAGAAGGGATGGATTAGGAGCAATGGGTGACAATGTTGTCAGACATCTTGTATTCATATACTGTTTTGTAGAATGGTAACTTCTTCGTACAACTACTTAAAGGTATTGTAATAAAAATGTGGAAAAAAAGAAGCTTGATTCATAATACTTTTTTAAAATTTTTTTATTGTTTTTTTTCACATTTTTATTATTAATACTTTTAAATAGTTGTATGAAGAAGTTCCCATTCTACAAAACAGTATGGAGGTTCCTCAAACGACTTCACATAGAGCTCCGCCATGACCCAGCAATCCCACTTTTGGG